CTTATTTTAATAGTTATATTCCAAAAATGGCTAATATCATTAATGCTTAAATTTAAATGTTCTGTTCAAATTCTCTGTTCAATTTTGAATTGCCTGAAAACGACGTACATATTTACATTGAAAGCGCTTGCAAGATTAAAATATTTCTCTTAATTCTCTTTAACGCCTCCTAGTCTGAAGTTTTTGATTGAGTTATCTGTTGGCGTGACATCCAAGCCAAGTATTTAATACACCTAACAAGATTGGTTCTCACTCCCTGGTTCCCTGGTGTATAAGGTTACACATAACAAGTTTATCCTTTTCAATGTTGTATTGATGCTCTTTGATTCTTTTGTTGATGGATCTATCTGTAGTGCTGATATAAAGTAAACTCCCGATTATCCAAGCTAATGGTGGGGAGAGGTGGCACGGATAATTCGAACTATAATTATTTATTTCTAAAATACAACATGTAGATTCGCCTTTTTCAAATTTTTTAATTAATGTTAGTTTTTATTTTATAGTAAGTACGACTTTCTTTTGATTATTAGGCATTTTAAGGGTACTTATCTGAAAATTACAAAAAAACATCTTATTTTACATAATTTTACACTAAAAGTATTTGTAGGAGAGTTATATCAAATCTTAAATTGTAATATGTATTATAACATGCAACTAAATGAAACTTTGTATAAATGTACTCACTATCGTTTTCTCGTCCGAAAAGAAACATCCCGCGTGAAAGAAGCAGCCTAACTAAAACCAGTCCAGCTGATTTCAGATACCCTCACCACCTGCTTCAAACATCTAAATACAAACATGTGCACACTTATAGGATGCATAAACATGAAAGCAAGCAACTATTTAAAAAATACGTACACACACAATTATTTTTTTAAAAATTAAATTCATGCACAGATAATCTGCACACTGATAGTTGGGAGTTTACGATATATTAGTTCACAATCAAATCTTCCATCTGTGATAAAAATATAGGATTCTCCTGGGCTCCAATTTAAATTTATTCGATCTTTCCCATTGAATAATAATTGGTATAACATGCTATTACATTTATAGGTGATCTTTGCATCCACATTCTTTGCAATTTCTTCATATATTGATCTGAGTCTTGTATAGAAGTTAACTACTCTATATTTGGACTCAGCTGGAGTATGTCGTGTTTGTATGGTGCTATTAAGCTGTGATTGTAATTCTGTTTGTTGTATGTAATTTTGCACTAAATTATGCACCAGGTTTTTAGAGTAACCATGAGAAATTGTCACTTTTTCAATGTGTTTGAGTTCTTTATTTGTCTAACATATTAGTGCAATGCATAATTGCCTGTCTCATTAAAACCCTAAAGGCTGCTATTTTGTATGAGAACAGGTCATTGGAACACACTGATATAAAGAATAGAAGATACTCCTGTTTATAGTAAACACTAGTGGTAATGCATTACCACTAGTGTTTACTATAAACCAGAGGTTGATGCAGTAATAACATTCTTAGATTTGAACATACATAGATTCCCTGAAGGGCTACTGTTCTCCAGTAGCCCTTCAGGGAATCTATGTATGTATGTTCAGTTTTCTATAAACGCAATAAGGTGCCTCATATCATCTCTGTAGACACTTTCCAACCTTTGCAATATGTTGATGCTGCTATTACTGCCCTCATTAGACGAGCATTCTTATTACTGTCAACACAATCACTTGTAAGCATTGAGTTAAACATTCATCAGTTTGGCAGAACTTAGCATTGTTTTTCACATGCTAAGTTCACACCTGTACATAATATGCTCAAGGAATCTCTATTTCCAAGTATAACACTGTGTAACAAGAGGGAGGGGTCAGTAGTTCAACTGCCATTACTGTACCTCAGACCCCTTTCCATATGCATTTGACATATATTCAGACAACACAACTTTTTCTTGCCTTTATCTCTGCTACTGAATTTGTGCAGATTCATCTGCAATGATCAGGACAAATTCTTCACCTTTGGAAAATAGGGACTCTATGCTGTACAGTACCATTGGAGAATCCTGTAATGGGGTGAACACAAGGTGCATTGGGGTTACAACACAAATGCTTGCTAGCCACCTAACTCAGTACCAGGATGATGATGTGAAAGGAAATCATACCATGGAGCTTGCAAAAAAAGTGCTCAAACAGAACTACAATTCATTGTGGACTCAAACATAACTAATCAAACACTTCAGTGACCAGAAACTTGTTTTTATATGGGAATCTCTCCTTATGACAAACTTAGAATCATGCAACACTCCCATGGTTGATCTGTCCTTTAAAGGTGTGATGCATGGATCACACCTTTAATGTGGATCCATGTATGCACTGCATGATGTTACATCTAGCATAATTGAATCTTGAACATACTTATAATGGTTTATTAATTTAAATTTAAATAGTGTGTGTTCCATTTGCATTATAACACTGTTTAAATTTCATTCACTTGAAGATGAGGAACAAAGTTCATTGAAAGTGCTAGGAAAAATAAAAATCTAATAACACTGCATTCAGTGTGTTTTTATTTTCTTTTCAATGAGAATAAGGTAAAACATGTTGTCAACTTACTTTGCAGGAATTGTGGAATAGTTAATACCAGTATTGAATATTCAAGAACTAGTTGATTAACATTGTTAGTAATTAGAGATTGATGTTAATGATAGAGTATTAAAATTGTTCAAAGTCCTAATAATAAAATTTATATCTATGTAATAAGTGACATCACACAGTTACATTATAAAAATGAATGTATGTACTCATATAAAATTATTTAATAAATTTTTATTTTTGAAAAAGTTACTTATTTTGCTTTGTTTTACACTAATATTGACAGCTCAATAGTAGGGTCTACAGATCACTGACAGTCATAATAGATAAAAACTTCATAATTTTTGGAATTAGTGCACACTGAAGCATGGGTATCTGCAGAATGAAACAAATGGATCACTTGCCCCCTTCCTGAGATTGAATAAAAAAATCTATGAATGAAATGTTTTAAAAGAATCATAAATTCTCAAATTGACAACAAATTGTCAAGTGATTTGTTTCATTAATAAACTACTTGACAATATATTGACAAATGAGTGCAAAAGGATTTAAACACCAGTAACATAATTTTAGTGAAAACATCAAATGAACATTTTCAGCCTTATCCAAGGTCTACTTCAGGTTTTTAGAAAACAAATTCCAAAATGTGATTAACTTCAGTAGTTAGAAAAGAAGATAGTTTTAATCATCCTCATGGTAAGCATGAGTTATAGTTAGAGTCTCAATCCAATCCAATTCTTTTGTTCCAGCAATTCTAAATTAAAATTTTTAGAACTTTATTTATCGCTTAATTTGCTTTAAATATTAAAAACAAATAGCAACTTATTTTGTGCTATACCTTGTTAGTTATGTTTTAGATCAGGGGTGGCTAACCTTTTCATAAGGCGGGCCAAATTTTAGAAATAATATTTCCTGCCGAGCCACACATCTAATTTATTTTTTATTTTTTAATTAAAGTAAACAAGCAAGTGTGCTACATTAATATGTAAATTTTCGACTACAAATTCGTATCTTTTATTATCAGGACTTATTATACTGGTTTTACAGATAATATTACAAAGATTAACAGAAAACAATTTTTATTTTATTTCGTATACCTGTATACGAAATAAAATAGGTAATTCGTGTACAGGTATAAGAAATAAAATAAAAATTGTTTTCTGTTAATCTTTGTAATATTATCTGTAAAACCAGTATAATAAGTCCTGATAATAGAAGATACGAATTTATAGTCGAAAATTTACATATTAATAAGGAAAAAGGACATTGAGGCAATTTAATTAAAGCAAGTGTGCTACAGCTTCAACCACATCGTCACTTCCCAGTAGGTGAGATCGTGGTCAAACACTTTAATGTAAATGTAAATGGTTTAATGTAAAAAAACATAAAAAATAGGTATATTTATTTTTTTGAAGAAAATAAAACATAACTGAGAATCAAACATATTTATTAGACAATTTTAAAATATTTAAGAGTGAGACATCTGACTTTGTTTTACAGAACTAAATGCATCAAAATTGATCTCCATTGATGTTGTCGCTACATGCAAACAGTTTTCCAAATGAACATCGGTAATTCGATCTCACTTGTGATTTGGTGTACTTCATGCGACTAAAAAGCTGTTCACACGCATAAGTGTTTCCACGTAGTGAAACCATCAACAGAGCATGTTTGTAAAACGCAGGATATTTATCCTTGTCCAAATATGTTTCATAGAACTCTTACCAACAAACCAACTTGACGAAATTTCTCTAACGTTTCAGGGTTTACTTACTTATAGAATAGATATAGTAGACAGGATACTTGGTTAAAGTAGTTTGAACTGTAATTATAAATATGTTAAATATGTATTTTAACGTCAATTGCAAAGTCTCTCCAGATGCATTGGCAATAATAAAACGAAACTACAGAATAACACGGAACTTTGTCAAGCTGGACTGAAAGTAGTTATGAGTATGAGCCCGATAGTATTGTGAGCTTCCCGAAGACGCCGAAGACTACAGAACATATATAGCTGAAGTTGAAGTCTCATATTAAATTTTATCAACACCTAGTGTCGGACAAAAAACTAAGTAACCTTGAGTGTCAAATAGCAGGATATTTGAAATAGCTAAAAATCTATGAATTTTTCCAAAAATGAGACTATTTCAAATTTCTCTTAGCTATAATTTAAAAATACATGATACGAATAACTCATGACATAATGTTCTTTTGGTGATATGTACAATAAAGTTAACATTTACGTTCATTTGACCTAGGTCTGCAGGCCGCAATATGACTCCAGGCAGGCCGCATGCGGCCTGCGGGCCTCGTGTTGGCCACCCCTGTTTTAGATATTTTTAGTAAATTCAAACAAGGAATATGAAAGAAAAATTTAAATAAACAAAATTATTAAATTTTATCAATTATCAAATAATTTTATTCTAAAATTATTTGCTTTATTTTAATTAGGTTCGTTTGCAGTTATGGGATACTGCTGGACAAGAAAGATTTCGCAGTCTCATTCCTAGTTACATTCGAGATTCTACAGTTGCAGTTGTTGTTTATGATATCACAAGTAAGTTGATTACATATTTTAAAGTATATTTTGAAGGTGTTTGTATTATCATGATAACTCAATTGTATTGTTAAGTTTAATAAATTTTTAAATGTTTAGAAAACTATTCATATTATTAAATAATAATATAAAATATTAAGATTAGATTTTATGTTTTANAGATATAGTTATAGGAATTTCTTATTTAGTGGGGTATGGCTAGAATGAATGTAATTGGTTCTAGAATCTTGTTCATTTTAGCATACATTGAAATATATTTAGGTGTAATCTGTTCTAAGTCCACTGGCTAGAGCAAAGGTACTATTTAACATAATCATTTAAACATGGAAAATATAAAACAAAATCAAAAATGCATGTAAAAATAATATATAAAATTAATTTATTTAACTTTATAGACTATACATGTAAGTTTCAATCTGTTATGTGATATTACAGTATGGACTGCTTAATCTAGGGATCCCTTAGTAACCTGTGCATTGTTTATTTCTTCCTTATTTTTTAAAATTACACTGATCATTGATTTAGCCATATTGTATTCAGCACTCAGATCTCCTACACTTTTCCCATTTTCTTGCTTGTAAATTATTTTTTTCTTAATGTTTAAGTTAATTAGCACTCTCATTCTGTTTTGTTGGCTTACGGCTAAAATTATATAGCAGAATGATTTTAAAAAATGTAGCTTTATTGTTAAAGATACAAGTAAACAGATATTTGAACTTTACAAACTATAATAAAAACAATGAATATTGCTCTGATCAAGGTGGGAAAACCTGGATATGTCACACATGTGCATGATTTGTAGACTACATTCATTGTAGCATACCCCACTGCATTTTCATTATTATTATTAAATAAAAAAAGAATAAAAACAACTTCATCTTAGAAGAATAAAATATTGTGAACTTTTTTAATTAATTGGACTAAAACTAAAAGAATAATCTTTATACTTCAATAAATATAAAAACTAAAAATACAGTGTATATGCATAAATAACATATTAATGCATGGCTATATTAAATATATGCATTATATTTTCTTATAATTATCCTTTTTTATATAAAAGTTAACTCATTTGTGTAACTACTAACTTTAGTGCAATAATGAATTTTAAGTATTCATCAAAAATTTTTCATTCAGCTATCTTCATTGAAATAATCAAAATATTATAGTGCTTAATTATTAATAATAATTTTTTAGATGCTAATTCATTTCATCAGACTTCCAAATGGATAGATGATGTCAGGACTGAACGTGGAAATGATGTGATAATAATGTTAGTAGGGAATAAGACTGACTTAACAGACAAGAGGTAATTCTAAATTATACCATATTTCTTTTCATTAGTTGGCATACTGGTTTAAAGTAATCAACTTAGCATGCTGAGAAATCTTTAATATTCATTACCTGTATCAATTGGGCAAAACCTAATTATAATGTAAGCATATTTAGACTTTAAAGAAAATATTCAATATTTTATTTGCAATTTAATAAATTTCAAAACAGTTTTAAATTATTTATAATAGTATTTCCCAACCTTTTTAGATTAATAACACACTTTGAATTTAACTAGATTCTTGCAGCATACTTTAATTTTTAAAATAAAATATTTAAAATTCTTTTCTAATTAAAAATTTGTCCATTTTATTCCTGCTTAAAATTTAAAATAAATTACAATTGATTTTAAAAAATTTTGATAATGAAGAAGATAAACTTACTAAGACAAAAACTCACAATTTACAAATATACTATAAAAATAAAACAGTTATTTGAATCAATGCATAAAGCACTAGTATCAACCTTTAAGCTGCAATGCATATAGAAGCTGCAAAGAGTATGCATAGACACATGCAACTTCTGTGAGATGCTGCAAATTTTGCAACAATAGGCATTTTAGTGAATATCTTTGGTTGGCTTGTAGTAAAAAGATGAAAGATACAAAATATTAAAAAACAGCTTATTCAAAATTTTAAAGTATTTAGTATTTCCACAACATACCTGCAGCACTCTCATGACACACAATTGTGTCACAGTACACAGATTGGGAAACACTGATCTATAATAATTCCATTTATACTTTATAGCTATATTATATATTTAATGCAGATCTTTGTAAACTATTTCAAATTCATTTAAAATGATTTACTTTTCCAATTCTGTTATATATATATATATATAACAGAAGGAAAATATGGCAATCAGTCAAAAGTTGGTGGTGAGTTTGCACCTGGCCATGTGAAGTTTTCTTCATGTTTATAACACTTAAATAGGGACCAGTTTTCCAGAGAAAGTCCTCCTATTAAAATTGAAATTTTATTTATACTGTATATAGTTACAATTATAATCTGCGATTAAACATTATTCTCAAATAATATATGAAGTATTTAATTTTTCAACGATTTGTGATTACTAATAAGTTAGATAACTTTTATCCAAATTCTGATCTTACTTTTCTTTTATCCAATTTTCAAATTGGATTTTAAAAAATATTGTAGACAAAACATCTGAAAATAGATCATTTAAATTTATGTATGTATTGAATCTGACAAAATTCAATAATTAATAAATTAAAAGATGTTAATGTAATGAAACATAACAAACCAATAAATTGTTTGTGTACATATTCACAATAAATAATCATGTATGATATGTATGGCCTTTCTTTTAATTTTCTTAATAAATTTTCTTTTTTTACTGAAATGATTTATCAATGCAATTTTAATGTTTGTCAATTATAATTATTATAGAAATTATCAATTTGCTGACGATCACGCCAAAATATTATATTGTAAAAAAGGGAAGGCACTGAGGTCGGCGTTATGTGTGCGTTTTTTATTCGCTAGTACTTTCGACGAACATATAGCCGTCGTCATCAGGCGAATTATCGAAAGAATTAAACGGAAATAATCCGATTTGGAATAGAACGCTTAAATTTAAGATGAAACTTTAGTAAAAGTCGTTAGGAACACGATAGAAATATTCAAAAATGTTCGAAAAACGAACGAGCAGAAAGCTCCATGATGTGCGAATACGCGCATGCGCAGATCTAGACACACACTGTACGCATTCTGGAGAATGCTAATTTTTACTTAATTGCTTGTATAGTGTGACCCATACACTGGGCAGCTCGAGAGTTGGAATGTTGCACGTGTCCAAGGTGGTAGTAAGAAGAGACTCCCATATAAATACGATTTTTCGATCCTTACAGCTCTTGAGCATAACCGCTTGGGACCATAGCGGGTTGTAACCCTGCTCAAGTACTTTTCTTGCGAGCTCGGTGGTGTGTCTACCCCTCGCAACATCGTTTTGGTGCTCTTCTAGTCGGCTGGCAAGCATTCTAGTAGTGGCCCCGACATATCTTGCATTTACTCCCTTTTTATCTTGCATTTACGTGTTCCTAACGACTTTTACTAAAGTTTCATCTTAAATTTAAGCGTTCTATTCCAAATCGGATTATTTCCGTTTAATTTTTTCGATAATTCGCCTGATGACGACGGCTATATGTTCGTCGAAAGTACTAGCGAATAAAAAACGCACACATAACGCCGACCTCAGTGCCTTCCCTTTTTTACAATTATAGAAATTAAAATTTTTGAAATAAAGAAGTTAATTTTAGTTTCATCATGCTAATAATTTTAAGAAACTAACATATTTAAGAATGTAGTTATCACATTATTTAGTAATAGTTTTATGAATATGCAAATTTACAAGTTTTTCATTATGTTAGATCAGATTACTATCTCTAGTGTCTGTATACTAAGTTTCTTAATACTCCATACAAATTGATTAATGACATGTTTATTGTATGGAAAATAAATTATTTGATTTTTAATGGATAATGAATTTAAATGATAAAATAGATGAGTCAATTTCATTTATAATCACAATACTAAATCATTGTGTATATAAAAAGTTTAACAAAAGTATGGAAAATTTTAATTCTGAAAATTTTAATATGAATGTAAGAAACGTTTTGATTGTTCACAAACTTCATTCCAGAATTTTATATAGAATTGTTGTTAATTTCATTTTAAGTAAATTAGGAAGATGATATTTAAAAGCACTATCAAAGATACATTTAAAATTTTTATATTTCAGGAACTATATGGATTTCTTATCCTTGTGTAATGTCATGGGGTAAAAGAAATCTTCTAAAATAAAGAGTTTAAATTAAAAATGATTTAAAGTTTGCTTATTAAACAAATTATTAAATTGGAAATAAAAATCATAATACAAAATTTCTATTTTGTATTGCATAATTCCAAATAGTGGATTCTTCATTTTATTTTAAGGATTCATAATATAATTAATGTAGGAAAAATTAAAATTTCATTACAACAAATTAATATAATAATTTTTAAAAATTGCTAAATATTTGCCTGAAATTCTAAAAGTAATCAATTGATTTATTTTTGAAATGTATCAATTGAATTTATCCAGCATGCCACTAATATGGAATAATAAATTTTTTTTTGGTGTTTTGACTAATTTTACAGTATTTATTTTTGAAATGTTATTTTTCTATTTATAGGAATTTTAATTAATAAATATTTAAATTGAAATTGTTTTAAAAAGTGCAACATATTTAAAAATATATAGGCTTTTATCGAAAAATCTTCGATAAAATAGTATTTTTCAAATAATATATAAGACTTCAATAGTATTTTTCAATAATTTCACAGGTGCACAAGATAGCATCTATCTTGTGCACTTGTGAAATTATTGAAATCCATTATCCATTCTTTCTGGAATGTTCTTGATTTCATCTATCAAAATAGATTACATAAAATAATGTTTAATTTTTATAAATGGAAGCATTAAATGAATTATATCAAAGAAATGTAATTGGCATATTTTATACTGAAAATTGATGAAAGTGAATGTGCTGGAACAATCACTATTTCACCAAAGAAGAATTAGATATGGATCATCAAATGACTATTAGTTTCAGCTTCTGGTTTAGCTGGCAATCAGTCCAAAAGGATATTCACAGGCCAAAGGATGGCTTTTCATTATCAAATAAGTGTATGGCAACAAATGCATTCAGAAGAGGCTAGTACCTTTCTAAAGAAATACTACCCTGACCAATGATATGTCTTCTAGCCAGATAGCCACAATCCATTATTCTCATGACAAGTTGCCAAGTTGGACCATTACAGAATTTTATACATTTCCCATGAATCCAACATTTCAAATGTTGTCTATACTAATATTATAAAGAGGTAATGTTTGTATGTATGTTAGTTTGTATGCAGCAGGTAATCTCCGAAACTACTCATCCGATTTCAAAAATTCTTTCACCAATATTTAGAATGGAATGTATACTAACTTGTAAGAAGGGATTTTTCGATATTCCCCCCGCGGGGAGAGAGACAGGATTAAGGCTTACTGTGAAGAACTTGGCTTCTATTATACTATTTTAGATGTGGGTTTTTGCATTTTTGATTGTGTTTTAATAGGGTACGTCAAGAGAATGTACACTAAGAAAAATTTTTTTGAAAAATTTTCCCCCACGGGGGAAGTGTTATACATTTATAATAGATACATTTTGAGCCACAACAAGGCGTGGCAGGATTTGCTAGTAACTGAGATAAATTGAGAGATTTTGGTACCAACTGAAACAAAAAGCTTATGAAAATGGTTGGGAAGCTGGTTCTTAAGGAGTTGGAGATGGGATTAAGACTAAACTTCAGTTTAAAGGAGGACCACTTCTGGAGGTTAATGGAATGGCTTAAGATTAAACTTTAAATTGCAGCTAATTGCTGTTCTGACCATCTTGTCCTTTTGAACAACCTATTTGTATTCAAGAAACCTTACTTTAAAATAAATAATGAATTTTAAACAACTTTGAAATTTGTGCAGATTTTTTTGTGAACTCTTAGTTGTTATTGGGTCATTGCAAATGAAATGTCTGTGTTTTAAAATTCAAACTTTCCAGCCTTGTAGTTCAACTTTTTTCCATGTGAACAGTGCTGTATGTTTGCAATTGGTATAATATGTGATTTTAAAAATGTAATCTCATTTATATTATGAAGTTCCACATGTTTAAGAGTACTTTTTCTGACAGCATGAAAAAAGGAAATTGAGTAATTTTCTTTTTCAAGTATAAGCAAGGACATAATGCAGCAGAAGTGACCCAAAATACCAATAAATTTTTTGGTGAAAGTTGGTGAAAGGCCACCAGGCATTGGTTCAAAAAATTTCATTCCAGGAATACAAATCTCAGTTTTAAATTAAATTAATAAATGTTCAAAGTCAGAAGTAAAAATAATCCATTTCATTTGCAACAACCTAATACATTATTTAATATTTTAAAAGATTTAGAATCTTGAATATTCTAATTTGTATTATGTATTAGTAATTCTACATAATATAATTAGAAATAATAATTTAATTTGTTTGTGTATTTAAAACTTTAATTCTTTATAGACAAGTTACTACAGATGAAGGAGATCGTAAAGCTAAAGAATTGAATGTCATGTTTATAGAAACAAGTGCAAAATCTGGCTATAATGTAAAGCAGGTAAATATATTTATTTGATCTTTATCAACATATATAAAATTACATAAAAATAATTTTAAAAATTATTTTATAGTTATTTCGTAGAGTGGCAGCTGCATTACCTGGTATGGATAATACAGAAAGGACAAAGGAAGATAGTATCCTTTCTTTTTGCTTCATAATCTTCTGACATCTCATGAAGTAAAAAGTAAGACTTTTTGAATAAATGATGTAAAAAGTAACACATTTTGTATAAACTAAAACAGCACCTTTTTTTTTTATTTTGCAACCTTTTGTTGTTTTAATATAATGCCTGGATAATAATTAGCTGAGCATGCCAAAATTTATTTAAATAAATAACAGTTAAAAAAGCTAGCTATTTTTTTATTATATGATTAAGTTGCCTGCTTCCTTATACATTTCTAGTTTCCCCTTTTTTGTTTTTGCTATTTTCCTTGACTATCATTTTCAGTTGTTGATGTTGATCTGAAAGATGCACCTTGTGAACCTTCAAAACCAGAAGGAGGATGTGTGTGTTAGGACTAAAGTTTCCAGTGCAACAGGTGATAAGTGGATAAAATAATGCTAACTGCCTCACCCCTGGTTTTGATTTTAAGGCATTGTTGTGTAAAACGTGTTCATCATGTTTTTGTATAATTTATTGTGAATGTAATTTATCAGCTATGTATGCTGTGATATATCAGCCTGCATGATGCTAATTGCTGACTAGTTGCATGATTATTGTTTGATCCTTTATTTTTGATACCATTTGAACTGCATTACATAAGCTTGCACCAGTTTAAAGTTGGATAAATATGATGGAAATGAGAAAAATTTGCAAAAAGTAAATGTAATAAAATCTTTCACTTTTTTAAAATCTTGTTGAAATCATAGAAAATGTATGTATGTAAATGTCAGATAAATACATCAATTAAAATGTTTTAAATATTTGTAATTTATATATATATATCATTCCTAAAATTTTTGCTTTTCTACTTTCCTAAAATTTTTCTACTTTTGCATTCTTGTTAAATATATTTCACTTAATGTGATTATTTTTTATTCATTAAAGTCATAAGTTTTATATTTATCTGAAGATTAATAACAAAGCAATAAGTTTTCTGTAAATTTTATTACTGTGTAAGGTAATTTTTTTTATTAATATTTATACAAAATTAAACTGGTTTGGTTTATATTTGTTAAAATATATTGTTCAAATGAAATAAGTAAAATGTAAATTTTCAATGTTTTACAGAAAGTAATTTAGCACTTTGTAGGTCTTCAGGATTCTGTTGTACAGTTTTATCATCATTGTTCTAATAGATCAAACTAAGTGTCTTAAAATATTTTATACCAAAGTCAATATATTACTGAAAATTTAAATTTTAGATTCTGTGCTATTTAAGTTTTTCAATTGCTTTCTGGTAATCTAATATTCTATGTATCAAACAGCATATCTCAAAATAGTTGTAATTTTGAATAAAAATGCAGAATTTTGTTCAGAAATAATTTTAATGTTTTATTTGGTAATTTCTAACATTATGTTGTACTAATTTTTTAGTTTTTAATAATAATTTAAATATATGTTGTTAAGAGTATTTGAAATTTTTATCAGAAACAGTAGTAATCACTTTAAAGATGTATACAAAAGAATATTATCTTTTAATATCTATTGTATTGGAATAGTTTTTCAACTATAATTTAAATTATACTGTTAAATAAATGAATCATATGAAATTTATGTTTAGAAAATATTAAACTAATGGTTAAATAAAATATATCATCTACTTTATAGCCTGCAATATATTAATAAATAACTGCTTTCTAAACCAAAAGCATTTATTTATTAATATGCTATGAACTATTTACAATGTATTAATTCCTAAAAGTCATCAAAAAGTGCTTTTTATTTATTCCAGTCAAAATTAAAAGTATTTATTTATTAATATATTATAAATTTATTAATGGATCTCTAGCATGCTTAGTCTTTAGTTGTTTGTTAATATAATAATCAGACATTCTTTATTGATGATTAATAATTTCTAAACTATAGATAGCAAAGGAAATTTGATGATTGTCAAATCAAAGTATGATTGATAGTAAAATATTTGTTTGAGAATCAATAAGTTTGAGTTGTTGTTTTAATCATTTATATATATATAATAATCTATCAAACTTTGGAATTTACATATTTCTACTTTATTAAATTTTGAGAATGCATTCCCAATGAAAGAATTGAATTAAAATATTAATTTTAACAATTTTGTTGAAGTCTTAATGCAAACATTTTTAGTAAACATCCATAACTGTCTCGACAAAAATATGGATATGTTAATTTTATGAAAATTCTGTTTAATAATCTAAAATTCTTGCCATAATAATAATGTTTATAAATATAGTTTTTATGAAATATGAAATGATTGTAAGTGAATACAAAATCAGAATTTTTCTTTATAAAAATTAATGGAAATACGGGTTTGTTTACTGTTAACATATTAATACAATTTTAAAAAATGCTGCCTTTTGTTATATATCTCTATTGATCCTGTATTTATACTTTTTTCCATATTTGGATGACATTCTGATGAATGAAAATTCATAAAACTTTTTTCCATTTGTATCAAAATAACTAGTTTACTTTATCTGAAAAATTAATTTTATGTAATGGTAATTTTTTCAATACTCTCTTATCTGTAAGAATAGTAATAGATTAAAATTCCTTAGAATTCTTGGGTAATGCAGTAGCTAGGTAGGTGTGATGAGTGCACAAGCACAAAGTCTATGACAAAAGGAAGGACTAAAATGGGATATCAAAAATGATCAATATTATGTTTTAACTTTCAAATTTTGAGTCTTGCTGCTGTGGGGTTGATTTCAGAATGTATTTTGGTTAAAGTTAAAACTTGATTGACTATTTTTATCATATTTGTTTTTATATTTTTCCAAAAAAATGGTATGTCAAAATATATTCTTGCACAGGGCTAGTTACTGCACTGTTCTTGGAATTATTATAAAAAATTTTCTGTTTAAACTTATAAAAACATGAAAAAATAAATTGAAAAAAATATTAAATTTAGATGATTAAAACAATCTGAATACACATGGGAATTTTCTGACATTTTCACTTTTTTGTTCATTTAGTTGTTGTTATTTTTTTTTAATGATTTAAATTTGAGTATTACTACAAATTTTGATTCCTGGATTTTTAATACAGTTAAACCTGTCTATCTCAAACATGTTTATCTTGAAAACCTCTTTCTCAAAATTCATTTTTTTCCCTGCATTTACAGCCTAAAGTCAATATATTTTTCATGTTTATCTCAAACAATTTTCTCCTGAAACCTCTATATCTCAAATTATGAACTGAAGTGTTAATTACAAATTTAAAGCTCAGAGACTACATTTTGATAGCATAAATTATAGTTGAGAAACATCTCTTGTAGCAGTACATAGTTAAAATTAATGCTGCTTTTCTCTGATTGGCTATGACTTTGACTTGTGTCTTATGATTGAAGGAAGTCAGGCATCAGAAACTATTGACAACTATTTTTGTTAAGATATGTCAAAAAGTTTTATTTATACCTAATACTGGTATGTACTGTACTTGCTATTGTTTTAATAAAATAGCATACCTCTAATCAAACCTATTAACCTATTACTGTTTATTGCTTAGGAATCTCTATATCTCAAAACTTGTCTTTCTTGAATTTTTTTCTTGTTCCTATGAGATTTGAAATAGACAGGGTTCAACTATATTTAGAACATTGCTAATATATAGCTAATGTTTTTATCATTCTATGCACAGTATAGAATGATAAAAACTTATTATACAAAGTTTCATAACGTCTTTTCTTTTTTCTAGCACTTTCTTTAATTTAACTAATGTTTTTAGCCATTTTAAATGGTCGAAAATGTTAGTTAAATTAAAGAAAGTGCGAGAATAAAGAAAGAAAGGTGTTGTGAATCTTTTTATCTTGTTACATTTCAAATATCTAATACAGTTGAATCTTTTTTAACTCAAACACCGGGGGAGTTTGAAAAGTTTTGAATTATATATATTTTTGAAATTAGAAACTTGCAGAAAACTAGTTTAATGTTTGGCAGTATTCCTTATTGGCAATATCATATTTTCTCTACTTTCTTTTTGCTTTAATCACTATAACTTTTTTAGCTAAAGATAAACTTGTATATGCTTTATTCTTAAACATCATAAAAAAACAGCAAAACAACTCCACTGTCCAAAGTGGCATATTAGAAAAGTTTGCCTAGCATAATTATTTGGAATAATAGAATGATACAATAATTACAGTATACTATTATTACAATTCTTCAATTTGAAATACAGTAGTGCCTCGTATAACGTACTTAATCCGTTCCAGGTGCACGTCCGTTAAGTGAAAAGTCCGTTATACGAAATGCATTTTCCCATAGAAATACATGTTAAAACATATAATTTGTTCCGCAGCATAAAATAACCATACTGTACCATTAAAAAAATGAAAATGGAGCAATCACCAATTATTCTGGGTAGTCAGATGATGTGAGGAGGAGGTAGAGGAACACTTTCTTCACACATTCATACAGATACAGACTTTTTACACATTGTAGCGGGTCTCTTTTTATTGTTTTTTAATCGGAGTTGGATTCAGGGGAGGCTACCGGAGCTTGCAGGGTCAACTCCTCTTGTTCCATCCTTTGTTTTTTGCCTGCTGGCTTGTTGAAAAACATGTCCAAGGTGGTCTGTTTCTCTCTCTTCTTCAACACCTGTCAGAAATGACGGGCAAGAGTGTTATTGTAGAGATCATTGATCCTGTTGACCTTGGCCTCAGCTCTGTTTGGATAATGAGTGTTGGTAAACTCCTGAACCTCTCCCTATTCGACAAGGAAGTTGTTGTCAACTTTCACTCCTTCTGATGATTTCTGACTTTGTTTCAATTGAAATCACCTTTCTGTTATTTTAGAAGCCGTGATTTGCACAACACTTGAATAAATGTAAATACTCTGCACTGAGGTGATGTACGTAATAAACAAGGGAGCAAGCCGAATCCCAATAGGTGCTCTGTACTTCAGATATACTAACAATATACTCTAATAACACTAATATGTTATAAAAATAGCAGGTTGTCATTGGCAATGGCAAAAGAGTGAAAATATCATT